CAACGCCCATGATATTTCATGGTGGTTGGCAACGCCCATGGGTTTTCATGGTGCTTGGCAACGACCATGATTTTTCACGGTGGTTGGCAACGCCCATGATTTTTCATGGTGGTTGGCCACGCTCATGATTTTCATGGCCTGATGATTTTCATGGGGGTTGGCAACGCCCATGATTTTTCATGGTGGTTGGCAACGCCTATGATATTTCATGGTGGTTGGCAACGCCCATGATATTTCATGGTGGTTGGCAACGCCCATGAATTTTCATGGTGGTTGGCAACGCCTAAGATGGTTGGCAATGCCCATGATATTTCATGGTGGTTGGGAACGCCCATGATTTTTCATGGTGGTTGGCAACACCCATGATACTTCATGGCGGTTGGCCACGCCCATGGTTTTTCATGGTGGTTGGCAACGCCCATGATATTTCATGGCGGTTGGCAACGCCCATGATTTTTCTTGGCGGTTGGCAACGCCCAGGATTTTTCATGACGGTTGGCAACGCCCATGATATTTCATGGTGGTTGGCAACGCCCATGATATTTCATGGTGGTTGGCAACGCCCATGATTCTTCATGGTGGTTGGCAACGCCCATGATTTTTCATAGTGGTATGCAACGCATATGATTTCATGGTGGTTGGCAACGCCTATGATTTTTGAGAGTGGTTGGCAGCGCCTATGATTTTTTCATGGTGGTTGGCAACGCATCAGGCGCACAAAATGGCCGCACAAAGATCTTTTTGTAAAAATGGCCGCACAAGGGGTGTTACGGCAGAGAAGCACCACTTGCGCGGCCGTTTATTTTTCATGGTGGTTGGCAACGCCCATGATTTTTCATGGTGGTTGGCAACGCCCATGATTTTTCATGGTGGTTGGCAACGCCCATGATTTGTCATGGTGGTTGGCAACGCCCATGATTTTTCATGGTGGTTGGCGATGCCCATGATTTTTCATTGTGGTTGGCAACCCCCAACATTTTTCATGGTGGTTGGCAACGCCCAGGATTTTTCATGGTGGTTGGCAACCCCGATGACTTTTTTATGGTGGTTGGCAACGCCCATGATTTTTCATGGTGGTTGGCAACGCCTATGATTTTTCATAGCGGTTGGCAACGCCTATGATTTTTCATGGTGGTTGGCAACGCATATGATTTCATGGTGGCTGGCGCCTAACGCAGAAGGCGCAGAAAATGGCCGCACAAAGACCCTTTTGCTAAAAATGGCCGCAAGGGGTTTTGCGGCAGAGAAGCACCACTTGTGCGGCCGTTCCTTTTTCATGTTTGTTGGCAACGCCTGTGTTTTTTCATAATGGTTGGCAACGCCCATGATTTTTCATGGTGGTTGGCAACGCCTATGATTTTTCATGCTGGTTGGCAACGCCCATGACATTTCATGGTGGTTGGCACCGCCCATGATATTTCATGGTGGTTGGCAACGCCCATGATATGTCATGGTGGTTGGCGACGCCCATGATTTTTCATGGTGGTTGGCAACGCCCATGATTTTTCACGGTGGTTGGCGACGCCCATGATTTATTTGGCGGTTGGCAACGCCCATGATATTTCATTGTGGTTGGCAACGACGATGATTTTTATGGCGGTTGGCAACGCCCATGATTTTTCATTGCGGTTGGCAACGCCCATGATTTTCATGGCGGTTGACAACCGGCATGATTTTCATGGGGGTTGACAACCGTCATGATTTTCATGGCGGTTGGCAACGCTTATGATTTTCATGGCGGTTGACAACCGTCATGATCTTTCATGGCGGTTGGTAACGCCCATGATATTTCATAGTGGTGGTGGAACCATGATATTTCATGGCGGTTGGCAACGCCTATGATTTTTCACGATGGTTGGCAACGCCTATGATTTTTCATGGTGGTTGGCGGCGCCCATGATATTTCATGGTGGTTGGCCACGTGCATGATTTTTCATGGTGGTTGGCAACGCTCATGATTTTCACGACGGTTGACAACCGTCATGATCTTTCATGGCGGTTGGCAACGCCCATGATTTGTCATGGTGGTCGGCAACGCCCATGATTTTTCATGGCGGTTGGCGATGCCCATGACTTTTCATGGTGGTTGGCAACGCCCATGATTTTTCATGGCGGTTGGCAACGCCCATGATTTTTCATGGTGGTTGGCAACCCCGATGACTTGTTTATGGTGGTTGGCAACGCCCATGATTTTTCATGGTGGTTGGCAACGCCTATGATTTTTGATAGTGGTTGGCAACGCCTATGATTTTTCATGGTGGTTGGCAACGCATATGATTTCATCGTGGCTGGCAACGCCTATGATTTTGCGGGGTGGTTGGCAACGCAGAAGGCACAGAAAATGGCCGCGCAAAGGCCCTGTTGCTAAAAATGGCCGCGCAAGGGGTTTTGCGGCAGAGCAGCACCACTTGTGCGGCCGTTCATGTTTCATGGTGGTTGGCAAAGCCTGTGTTTTTTCATAATGGTTGGCAACGCCCATGATATTTCATGGTGGTTGGCAACGCCGTATGATTCTTTCATGGCGGTTGGCAACGCCCATGATGTTTCATGGCGGTTGGCAACGGCCATGATCTTTCATGGCGGTTGGCAACGCCCATGATATTTCATGGTGCTTGGCAACGCCCATGATTTTTCATGGTGGTTGGAAGCGCCCATGATTTTTCATGACGGTTGGCAATGCCCCTGATATTTCATGGTTGTTGGCAACGCCCATGTTATTTCATGGTGGTTGACAATGCCCATGATATTTCATGGTGGTTGGCAACGCCCATGATTTTTCATGGCGGTTGGCAACGCCCATGATTCTTCATGGTGGTTGGCAACGCCCGTGATTTTTCATAGTGGTATGCAAGGCATATGATTTCATGGTGGTTGGCAACGCTCATGATTTTTCATGGTGGTTGGCGCCGCCCATGATATTTCATGGTGGTTGGCAACGCCCATGATATTTCATGATGGTTGGCAACGCCCATGATTTTTCACGGTGGTTGGCGACACCCATGATTTTTCATGGTGGTTGGCAACGCCCATGATTTTTCATGGTGGTTGGCAAAGACGATGATTTTTCATGGCGGTTGGCAATGCCCATGATTTGTCATGGCGGTTGGCAGCGCCCATGATTTTTATGGCGGTTGACAACGGCATAATTTTCATGTGGGTTGACAACCGCAATGATTTTCATGGCGGTTGGCAACGCTCATGATTTTCATGGCGGTTGACAACCGTCATTGTCTTTCATGGGGGTTGGCAACGCTCATGATATTTCATGGCGGTTGGTTTGCAACGCCCATGATTTTTCACGGCGGTTGGCAACGCCCAGGATATTTCACGGTGGTTGGCAACGCCCATGATTAGTGGTTGGCAACGCCTATGATTTTTCATGATGGTTGGCAACGCCCATGACTTTTCTTGGCGGTTGGCAACGCCCATGATATTTCATGGTGGTTGGCAAAGCCCATGATATTTCATGGTGGTTGGCAACGCCCATGATATTTCATGGTGGTTGGCAACGCCCATGATATATCATGGTGGTTGGCAACGCCCATGGGTTTTCATGGTGGTTGGCAACGGCCATGATTTTTCACAGTGGTTGGCAACGCCCATGATTTTTCATGGTGGTTGGCCACGCTCATGATTTTCATGGCGATTGACAACCCTCATGATTTTCATGGGGGTTGGCAACGCCCATGATATTTCATGGTGGTTGGTAACGCCCATGATATTTCATGGTGGTTGGCAACGCCCATGATATTTCATGGTGGTTGGCAACGTCCATGAATTTTCATGGTGGTTGGCAACGCCTAAGATGGTTGGCAATGCCCATGATATTTCATGGTGGTTGGGAACGCCCATGATTTTTCATGGTGGTTGGCAACACCCATGATACTTCATGGCGGCTGGCAACGCCCATGGTTTTTCATGGTGGTTGGCAACGCCCATGATATTTCATGGCGGTTGGCAACGCCCATGATATTTCATGGCGGCTGGCAACGCCCATGACATTTCATGGTGGTTGGCAACGCCCATGATATTTCATGGTGGTTGGCAACGCCCATGATATTTCATGGTGGTTGGCAACGCCCATGATATTTCATGGTGGTTGGCAACGCCCAATGGTTGTTGGCAACGGCCATGAATTTTCACGGTGGTTGGCAACGCCCATGATATTTCATGGTGGTTGGCAACGCCCATGATATTTCATGGTGGTTGGCCACGTCCATGATTTTTCATGGTGGTTGGCAAAGCCCATGATATTTCATGGTGGTTGGCATTGGCAACGCCCATGATATTTCATGGTGGTTGGCAACGCCCATGATATTTCATGGTGGTTGGCAACGCCCATGATATTTCATGGTGGTTGGCAACGCCCATGATTTTTCATGGTGGTTGGCAACGCCCATGATTTTTCATGGTGGTTGGCAACGTGTATGACCCCTAATAATTGTTAAATCAAACAAAAGGGAGCGCGTGTCGTACAGGCTTGAGTGCCGCAGCCGGGGTCGGGCAGGGGGGTCTAATAACTCTTTTGTGCCGTGTTCTTGGTTTCGGGTATTTCTTGCCTGTTTGAGTAGCTCGCCACCAATATTTTCGGGTTTGTAGTGGTTGTGCAGTGGCTGCAGTAAGCATGATTTTCACGATTCTCATTCATATGTGTTTGTACCGGTCCATGCATATACTATCCATTATCAACCAGCCACATGCACCCATCGACTCGTAGGTTCGTTATGGTTGATTGGCGTGGTCCATGAGCCTACGCACAGCGCTCATAAAGAGGATGCGTTTGAGCTGGGAGTCTCGGAGTGCCTTCTGCTGGATCATTTGATGCCGGGTAGAACTTGAAGTTGGTGGGACATGCAGATCATTCCTGACTAAGATGTGACAGTTTCCATTCTTTTTGCAAGGCAAAACTGGATCAGTGTGAATTTGTCACGGTAGTGGTACCCCCAATAAAAATGCAGCAGCGCAGGTGGGTGCACTTGTTTTCCCTTTACCTACGGACTAGCTTTTAGCTCAAGAATCGACTGTCCCCGCATCTTCCTATCACCTTTGTCATGGCTGAAGCTGACGTGAAGCTGACCACCGTGAGCACGGGCGGCGCCAAACTGGGCTCTGTGATTCCCGCGGAGGCCCTTTCAAAGAGTGAGGGGAAGGCACGGGGTAACAAAGAAAGGGACTTAATGCGTATGATGATTGACAGTTCTGAATTAGTTTCAGGTGGTTTCACACATCTACATGTCGGTCAGTGGAATCACTTTTCTTGCGCAGCTTCGTTTTGGTGAGACATCCGTTCGATGAGATGCATCCCTAGGCAGCCATCGCCGGGCAGTGGAAGATTCCAGGCGTGGCCGAGCCGGTGGATTTGAAGGTCACTGGCTCCGATGTAACCTCCGTGCAGAAGCCCTTTGGCAACGAGCCATTGATGGCAGTCATCGAGGAAAGTGAGGAGAAGTTCGGGCTGCATGTGACCATGGGAGGATTCCCCATGAAGGCCTGGCTGAAGAAGGAAGGGCAACAGACCGTGTTGGCCTTTTCCAATGGTGGACGTTGGTCGAAGCTCTGAGGGAAATATTGATGCTAGATACCAGGGTCATTGAGGGGTGCGTTTTAGCATTTTAGCTGCCATTTTGATCGCTGTACAGATGGGTGTCATGACATTCTCCATGAGAACTTGATCAAATTCCGTGACTTGACTTTGTTTTTCATTCCAATGGTTTTGTTTTGGAAAGTATTCATGACCCTTGAAATCTGGCTGCATTGGCCAGTACCAGAGGCAAGGATTGATCCAGCCGATAGCTTTGCCCCACACTGGTTTCGGACCCAGAGAAAAGAGGCGCTCTATAGCTGCTTTTGGACAACCTGTCCAAGCTGATGGCAAGGATTGTAAGCCATCAACCAATGTTCAGATATTATGTACTATTCTTGCTGCCACTGTAGTATTATTGTTGTGATTATTTTTAATTATATACTTTTTAGTGTTATGATTGTCATTTCCATTCTGAGAATTGTCAATGTCATTCACGATTGCAAGCAGAGTTAATCAACAAATATGTTGGACGACGATAACCCTTTATCTTCAAACCGATGCGTACTGTTCATCCCACAATTTCTTTCATGATTGGTGACCACTTGAACGGATCCTGCAATCACTTACGGGGATGTCTCAACATGAAGCAAGGTGCTGATGATCTGAGCTCTGACTGTTGTTGTTTGAATAGCAAGGATTGGGAGATCTTTTTGGTCTTCCGTTTGTGGCTTGAGGCGATACTTGCCCTCGAGATAGCAACAGCATTTCCAGCGCCAGACCTTGATCTGCCATTGTTTTCTTGGCTGTCTCTGAGCTGATTGGCCACCATGAAGATACTGATCATGAATCTGAAGATAAGTCCCGTCCTTAACACATTTATTTGCTGTTGATCAAGCAGTGGCATAACTGTGGCTCCAACACTGAATCGTGCATCCATTCCGTTGAGGGCGATCAAGACTAGTGCTGAATCAGCAATTTGGGGCTCAGCATGTTCGCCAGTTTTTCCCCAGATAGCTGAAAGCTATAGGGGCCGGGTAGGGATGCAGTTTGGGGTGCTGGTGGAGGTGCTGTTTGACGGTGCTAGGGGGCATGCAGTTTGGGGCATTTGTGGTGCTGTTTTGCAAGATTGTAGGGGGCATGCAGTTTGGAGTGCTTGTGGAGGTGCCGCTTTGCGAGATTGACGGCCAGGTGCTAGGGGGCATGCAGTTTGGGGCATTGGTGGAGGTGCTGTTTTGCGCGATTGACGGCTAGGTGCCAGGGGGTGTGCAGTTTGGAGTGCTGGTGGAGGTGCCGCTTTGTGAGATTGACGGCCGGGTGCTAGGGGGCATGTAGTTTGCGTGTCATCGTGACGCTGCCTTTACCATCACCATGATGCTGTTCGCATCACCATGATGCTGTCCGCATCATGGTGGTGCTGTGAGCATCACCAGGGCTCACAGCACCACGATGCTGTCCGCATCATCATGATGCTGTCAAACTCATCAGAGCGTCAGTCTCTGCCTTTTTTGTGCAAGACAGGTCCCGCGGAACTGTTCGTTGCTGGTGTGTCAGGATCATCCTGTCAACATCATCGTTTGGCTGCTCAACTCGCTAGGACGGGACGTTGTCTGCGCGTCCATTTAGCGCACCATGCTGAGTAGCTCATGATGCTGTCAACATCACCAAGATGCTGTCAACATCATCATGATGATGCTGCGTCATGGCTCGTAGCCGTGGTGTGCTATCTGGGGCCTATTGCTTGTTTTTTGGAAAATGTCACGAATAAATTTGCAAGTGGCAGTTGGTACTGGGAGGAGACTTTTTTCCTCCATGTTTTTGGGCCATAGATCCTCCTTCGCCAAGCGAGGCCCGGCAGTCACGGAGCTCCAAACTGCATGGAAGGGAAACTTGACTCCGGGGAATATGACAGGTGAGAACTGCGGCTGTTACCGTTGTCACTAAGCAAGTCGTTCCTTAAAAATAGTGGCCTTGTAGTTGTGTGCAAGTTGTGTACGTCTCTCTACGATAGCCTGCGAGGGGAGAACGCAAATGCACCAGGTTGGTGAAAGGAAACCCGGCAAGTGAGCTTATTCATACTATCAAGAGCAAAAGGGGCAAGTCTTGTTTGTACGGCTCCTTCCCATGTACTGGTGGAAATTGCAATACCACATCCCATCGCTCTCAGGCGTAATTCGTCACAATACTCTGCGGCTCCATAGAGAGAAAAACGATATTTTTAACTTAATGAGGATCTGACCTAACTTGGTTTTCTGATCAAGGAAGAGGTGAGTGTAATGCTAAAAGGCTACCGATGTCAACGGCTGGTTTGCAAAATCGCTGTTGCATACTCCCACTGTCAGGCCCTGCCTGCCTCAGTGTCGTGCAAGACAAGGTTGTGCGACGGGGTCCTTTTGTCGACCTGTGAAACGGAGCCAAGTTGGACAGAGCCAAGTTGCACAGAGCCCAGTTACACAGAGCCAAGTGGCACAGAGCAGTGGCTCAGAGCCAAGTGGCACAGAGCCAAGGTTGGGTCGAGCTTGCGCGCTTCGACGTAAGCAGCTATGTAATCTAGTTTTTGTTTCGAAGGCAAATTGGCTCTGTGTAACTTGTCCAAGCGCTCTACACAGAAGAATCGCGATGCTTTTAGAAAAACATGATGAAGTTTTGTCGCATGTCCATGGTGCTCTTACTCACTCAGATAACATTGAGATTCAAGATCACCTCTCAATCGAATGCAGCCATTTTTTCGGAATCATTTTCATTGAAGCAAGCTGCGCCTGCAGTCTTCTTACTTCATTTTTCTCGTCTATGGCAGCGGCAAGATGCCTTTCCGAGGACTTTCTCGCCAAGGAAAGCTTTTCAGAATGAGTTGCACACCTTGGGCGCTGTGGTGGAGAACATCGACGTTTTCAGTGCAGCTTCGCAGGCTGTCCTGGATTCTGTAGTTCGGGGAGGCGATAGACACGTGCAGACGCATCTTATGTGTTTTGAGCAAGGGACTCGAAGAGTGGTGTCTTGGTGATTCTGCCTATGCGGAAGCAGTTAGATTTGTTGGAAAAGCATCGCGTGAAGTTTGGCGCCTGTCAGGTTCTTCTAGATGTGCCGGCAAAGATCTGCCCTGATGAACTGGTCACTCAGCTCTTCATTGGTGGGCATGTCAGTTGTGATAAGTCTTTTTTTGAAGACATCCGTGCTTTTGCGGATGTTGTTCAGCTGAAACCTATGGCTCCATGTAACTTGGCGCCAGGATGGGAGTTTGATCATCGGATCATCGCTCAGAGTTGCGACCCTCTGCGGAGATCGAGGGAAAGCAAGTGAGGACTTTCTGCGATTTCAGCTGCGCGCGCGAATGCGGAGATTTGCATGAAAGTCAATACATTGATGATTTTTTGCAATTTTTGCGGTGCCCGCGCCCTCTTCGGAGATTCGCGTGGTCGTTTAAAAAACTGCGGACTTTTTACGATTCTTGCGGTGCGCGCAACCCTCGACTTCCAGTGCGCGTGCGAGAAAGGTGAGTCACCGGGCAGCGGCCTTGGCTTGGACACAATGTTCCCTAGGTGTGTGCTTGCAGGTACCAATTTCGTTGGCAGGCTGAGCTTGCTTGCTTTATTTTCTTACAGTTTTTTCCCTCCGATCACATCTGACACTTTTTCAGACGTGCAAAGAGAGGTATGGTTTGCTGCTTCGCAGAGATTATGGGGCTAGCAGGGTGTAGAGCCTGGCGTTTCACCCCGTTTTGTATGTGGGCTTTCTCCGCCCAGTTTGTGCTTTTTGGCTACCTGGCCCCCTAGCATCTACCTGGTGCAAGTTTAATTTGGGAATTTTGCTTGCTTGTCGCTTTTTTAAAGCTTCTTTGCTGCACGTGGACTCTGTGCTTCGTGGAACGGTGATTATGCTCAAGGCGGCACAGGGAAAAAACAACAAATAATTCGATGATTACAAAGTGTTCATTTGCGCTGTGACCTCATGTTTCCTGGGCTTGTTTTGTTGAAGGCATTCATTTACCTTTGTCCACCAGTTACACTATCGAACACAGGGGCGTGGTTTATGTAACAACCTTTGGGACCAATAGACAATCCCTAATGCATGAGTGTTTCACTAGTACAGCATAATACGCCTGCTGTACGGGCTCAAAACAAGAAGGTGCGCTAAGCCTTTTTTTTTTCTCCCCGGACTTTTTGCCTAATGTATAGTTGCGTCCCCGAATGGCTTTTGGAAACAACATGTCCCAAACGTTGGTTGCAATCGGACACAATCGGTGCAGCCCAAGTACTATATTTCAGTCCAGTCTCAAGATTTATCCGGTGGTGTAGTGACACTTTGCTGGTAGAGTTCAGGGTCGAAGTTCGTGACCTCCTCCGCACCGCAAAAATGCGTGCACGCGAATGAGCCTTACTGTATGTGACTTAGTGACATTTGATTTAACAATTTTCGGAAAGTGTAAACCTGCATAAATTGTCCGTGTTGTACCGCAGATTCGGAACACCTCAGCTCAGTATGAGGCTTGCTTTCTTTGCGCGACCGCTATATATGTCTCGCTCGATTCTCGCAAAACTCTGCAATTTTTCCCAAACGCGCAGCGACTTGCGGTTGAACCCAATGAGTGGAAGTGAATCGGGGCAGAATGCTTTGGCACGATGGTGTAGGGCATCGGACCGGTGCAACGAATAAAATCGGCCTGTGATTTGGAGAGGTCAGAAGTGGCGAGACGTCGCCCTCGTGAAAACATCCATTGGCGTTTTGCGCACATGGCTTGAGTTGTTAAGCACATTTTGAAACGATCATCCTGGTACCCATTCGCCCAAGCTGCACAATTTGTCATGACTTGATTTTGTGCGCAAAGCGACGAAGATATTGCAAATGTGCTCCCGAGGAAACTGACTGCAGGCAACTGACGCACGTACACGCTTGCTTGTGGTGTCGGGCATCACACTTGAGCGGGGCGAATGTATTTTTTCGTATCAGCTATCAGTTGCTTCACTCTGGTGAATTTTCAAGCTACAACACCATGGACTTGTGCCAAAGTTTTTTTTCTTTCTTTCGGTCTTTGCTTCGTTTTGTCCGGCCTGAGGCGCTTTGGCATATTGTGCTCGCAGCATCTAGCTTGGCATAGTAGGGTCAAAATAGTATTTGGGTCTGCGAACGTTTTTTGGTTTACGTGGCAAATGCAGGGGAACACAATGATAGTTTTCATGGCACCATGCGCCGAGATTTACTAAAGAGCTGTGCAAACCAATCAACAGAGACGCATGCATGGGCCGCAGCCTCGGACTTTGGCGCACGTGCGTTTGACTCGTTTGACGTTGTATTCCTCAGGCGCCGGGGCTGGCAAAGCATCAGCAAATTCAAACAAGTGTTCCAAGACATCAGCATGTAGCAACTCGGCATTCAAGTCTGGCCTGACCAGATGTGACGACTGACTGGGGGGCTTGGGCTGTTTGCAATTCTTTCAGGTAGCAAAGCAACGCCGCAGGTGGAGATGTGCCAACGTCAATTGGCCTGATATTGTTGCTCGCAGGTTGGCTTTGCCCTACCTGATGCTGATGAGGAGCCATGCAGATACTGGAAGCGCTTGCGGCAATGCCTGCATGATAGGTCGTTCCAAAACAAAACCACCTTTTGTTATTCCATTCGTCCCTTTGTTCCATTTCTCACAAACTTGCGTGGTTTGACGTGTGAGTGCCAGTGCTCAGGACAGCTTGGCCAAGCGCATTCAGCTCCTGGAGTCAGTCGTGCACCACCAGGCGTGAGCCTTGAGGGCACGCTTTGACTCGACGTTCGAAGCATTCCGCTCGGTTGAGGCGCAGCAGCTCCAAGTGTTGACAAAGGCCTGGCTTGGAATAGGTGAGAAGGCTGGAAAGGCTCGAAAGGCTGGAAAGGCTGGAAAGGCTGGAAAGGCTGGAAAGGCTGGAAAGGCTGGCTGGAAAAGGTGCGGGGCAGATGAAAGCATGTGGGCCACAGTGCTGGGCGGGTTGAGGGGATTGCAGGCGCTCGAAGGCGTGCAGAGAGATACCAGACGTACAGTCTCGTTCATGCAGTACAACATATTGGCCTCGTGAGCCGAGTGATTAGCGCTAGCAAATGCCTGTTCGTGGGCTTTGTGTGTAGGTATTTGGGCAAGAACACTCAGCCGTGGTTCTTGTACGGTGCCGATCTCCAACCGCAGGACAGAATCTCAGAAGGTTCGAAGCTTCCCACTTGGTGGCGAGGAGCGCGAGCAGATCTTCAAGAAGTTCAACGAGAGGGGCCCGGACGGGGCGCCAGGGCCCCCAGAGCCTTGAGAGGATTCAGAGCCCAGAGCCAGCGCTTCACTCAGGCCCAAGCACTCCTGGCCCGATTACGTCCAAGGTGCGCTGGTGCGCTGGTGCGTGGCAATGGTTCTAGGGAAGGACTGCGAGCAACTCTCTGCGAAGGCATCCTGTCTCCACAACAAATTGCGGAGGTTGAGCACCGCGATACTTTTTTCAGGTGTGTGGGGTCTCCAGAGATAGGCCTGATGCAACTCTGCGTGAGGTGGGAGGCTCGGAGAAAGAAGCTGACCGATCAGATTTGGGATTTGGATCCAGACATCGTGTCACTGGTGAGTGCCTTAGCGTGCCTTAGAGTGTCTTTAGTTCTGTGCCGAAGTGGAATGCTAGGGCTGCCGATACAAGGTTGAACTGGATGACCATGTCTTCTTTGCAGAGAATCTCAATGAAGAATGGGACCGCGGCCTTGCATAGCCACTCACACACGAGGTGCAATTCCTGTCAGTGCTGCTGTGTTTGGCGTTGCAGGACTCAGTGTTTCGAAAGCGTCCGCGAGTCTCGTCCGCTGATGGCTGCGGCATCTTCTGGCGCCGTTCCAAGTTCCAGATGGTGGCCAGCGAGGCTGGAGTCGGACTGTGAACCGAAGCAGTGTGTCTCTGCCAGGGCTTCGACATGATCGATGGCAATGACGCCATCTCGACGTAGTTTGGCACATCTCAAGATTTCTGATCGTTTTCAATGCTTCGGAGGTTTGATGGCGTGCATGTTTCATGGGCATGGGATGTTTGATCGTGCCAGGACAAGGGACGGGAGAAGCGCGACCGAAGCTGCCTGATGGTGCCCAGCGTACAAGACCTGCAGATTTCTTGGAGTTTTGTGAGGTACTTCTGAGATGGAAGAATGCCCCTCACACCCTGCCGCTGGTCGTGGTCTCCACCCACTTGGCCAAGGAGTTTTGGTGTTTGTGGCTTGTTTGTCCTTTTCATAGCGCAGGACCCCTACAACAAAGCCCAGACAGCCATCCGTGTCAGACAGGCCGAACTGGGCGCTGTGTGAACATGTTGAGCGCTGCTTTTTGGCAGGTGACACAGATTATGGCCTCTTTGACAGCCTTTACGACCACGCACGATGCCAGAAGCCTTGGATGCGGTTTGTGCTTGCGCATGCTTGCGCCATGGAACTTTTTGTTTTTCCGAGGCCAAAGATTGTCCTGTGGTGCTGTTGGGGGACCTCAATGCACGCCACTTTGGAGAGATCCGAGGGTGTGGGCCTTGGGATAGTTGCCGCCTGATTCGCCTCATTTGCCTTTCTCCCGGTGCAGGATTGCCCGCACGGCTCAGTACCCAGCAGCGGACACGCCTCAACTTGACATCGCATTGCATCACTCAATCGCACTTCCAATATCGCTTAGAAGATACCGGTGTTTGCATTGTTCTACATCACTCCCGGCATTGCCATAGAGTCCAATGTTTCTAGTTTTCTAGTGTTATCCGCTTTGTTCTTGATGCAACATTTGGCTCCAGCTCTACGTCAGGCCTTGTTCGCATGAGGGCAGCTGTCCAAAACCACTTGCGTAAGGTGGATAAATCGTGCAAATGCAATGCGCGTGCAAGCAAGCTTCTTCTTTTCATCGCAATCTCCAACTGGCAATGGCTGGGGAGGAAAAGGACGAAGCCGATGGACTGTTTGGGATAGTGGCTTCCGCGTGGTCGTTCATTCGCGAATCAGATGCTGACGATGCAGACACAAAGGACAGCTGCAAATTGGAACAAGCTTCGGGATGCGCTCCTGTAATTCGCTGGCGTTTTGCGTTCGACACCAGGACTTTGCAAGCTTCAGCCCAGCTGCGGTACGGAAAGAGGCAGGACTTGCCGAAGCTTGGTGTGATGGATCAGAGGTATGATTCGTGGCGGCCAGGTACCGACACGCAGAAGAAAGCGATCGCTCGTGGCAACAGATTATGTTGCGGCAGCTGCAGATGTTTTCGGACATGTTCTAGCGAAACTTGGCACAATGAAGCTTGTTCATTGCAATCCTCATGCCAACGACATCAACCGAGGATTGTGGTCGTTTGTTGGATGAGCTCCAAATTCAGCGAGTTTGGAACTTAGTTGACCCGGCCAACCATGCTGAGAGCTCAGGTTTGTGCGCAAAGGTTGCCCGCCAAGGCAACATGACAAGATTGTGGATGAGTACAGGCACTTCAGATACTATGCGACCCTGCTTCAAGATCGCATTGGCCGTGCCAAGTGGGGTGGGGTTGGGGGACGATCTGAGGCTTCTGCTTCCCGCAGTCCTCTACACCACCCTCAAGCACTGGTCTGCCGGGAAGCATTTCCCCATGACGGGCTCCAGCAGCTTCCAGGCTCGGGGCCTTCGGACACGGGTGAATCAGTGAAGCATGCGGGGTGAAGCTCGCACGGGGGGACGGGGGGACGGGGGGCAGTGGCTATGGGTGAAGATGTGAGCCAGTGGCCTGAGTGGCCTGAGTGGCCTGAGTGGCCTGAGTGGCAGGTCCTCTTGCGGGGGAAGTTCGTGGACTGTCGTGCGCCGTCGGACCTTCGGGGTGCCGACCTCTACTGCATGCTGGCGAACGGGGTCTTCTTCTGCTGCCCGGAGAGAGCAAAAACGTGTTACGAGACTTTTCGGATTCAAAGAGAGCTGAGCCCTAGACATGTTTTCGAGTCCCTGACGGATCCTTGGATGGTGTCCTAGGTTATCTTGGCCTGTGGAACTTCTTCGTCTTGCATCAGCGCCGTGAAGACCGAAACGTCTTCGACCCATCGGCTCGTGTACTGGTGCCGCTGTGCATCGCATGTGCACTCCTCCGGCCAAAGTCCACTGTGCTGCACTTCAGCTTTTTCGGAGCCTTGGCAGTTGGCTTTGTCTGCCTGCTCTTTGGATCTGGCATTGTGGCAGTGGTGCTCGTGTGGCTTGGCTTCAGACTGGGACTCCATGCGCAGACTGAGACTCCATGTATAGCACACTCCAACACGTGGCATATGACATGGTTTTGATGTCCCAGCGTTGTCACAATGAGAAGCTTGAATGGGTGCCCCGTGCAAGGGCGAGGCGCCCAAGTTTTTCTGAGGCTTCTGTGGATCGGCACCTTCGAAGGTCGATCGAGCAAAGTTAAGCTGTGCTTCTCCCTGGGCAAGGCTTACGATGTGATCAGTGCCTTGACTACTGGAATCATCTGGAATCCTGGAGTGCGATTGCCCATGTCGCAACCTGCGTCATGCCCAGGCTTTGTCTACAGGCAAACCTGAGGCGGCAGACGGAAAATGGGGCATGGCATTTGTGCAGCTACTAGCAGCTGCTAGCAATTCGCGGAGTGGGAGCTTGGCACAGCTTAGGTTTGGCAGATCAAGGGCGATCCCATCCACAAGTGCCCCCCCCCCCCACCTCAAGGTATGGAACACCAAGATGATTTTGCCAGGTTCCTTTGGGGTGCCACAGATGTCAACACTGGAGCGACCTCTGTGACGAAGGCTGGGAGGGTGCCTGGAATTCCAGGACGTGTTTCAGTGCCTAGGCACGCCATTGCCGGATTGACGTGGTCCAGTACCTCAGCAGCCACATGGAGGTCTGCAGGAAAGACGATCAGGAAGTCAAGAACATGCCATGAGCTAGGTGCTGGACGTTCTGCCGATGCCAAAGCTTGAGTCTGGGGAGGCCTGGCCTGCGCTGTTCATTCTCAGCTCGAAGCATTGTTGAGTTGCCATTTGGCTCACACGGCCTCAAGCGCCTCAACATGTTAGCACATGTTGGCTGTTGGTCAGGTCGGCTTTCAGGCTTAGAGGCGAACAGCGCAAGTCTTGGGCTGACCACTCACCCGCCCTTCTACCAGCCTACCGATTTTCTCCATACACGTGTTGCTTCAGCGTCGCTGTGATGCGTCCATGGCCATGGGACTGTCCCGTTGGCCCAGGGCCGCCAAAGGCTCGGTCTGCCAAAAGCGCAGATTTTGGCTGACGGCCAGTGCTCGCGTTCACTCGACGTACGCTTTTGAGCCACAGGCCACAGTCTTCAGTGGGTTCAGCGAGCTGCGAAGGATCCCTGGATTCAGCGTGCCCATGAGAAGATGTACAGGCAGAGAAATGCAAAGGGAGTGCAAAGAGCACGGATTGCGCCTCAGGTCCCGAGCAGCGTTCAAGCTGAAGCAGATTGACGCCAAGTTCTCCATCTTCAGCAGGTGCGGACAAAGTGACGGGCTCCTTTGATCCTCTGCGTCACAGGAAGGGGGTGATCATCGATCTGGGCTGCAATCCGGGCAGTTGGTCGCAGATCGCCTTGGAGAAGACGGGGCGGCACGCGGTGGTGCTAGGTGTGGCACCTTGGAGCTGCAACACTGCAAGCTGCGACCATACGGCGAGTGGCATATGGCGTGCCACCACCCGTGTTTGAGGACAAGATCCTGATGGAGCCATTGGAGAACCACCACTTCATCCAAGGTGACATCAAGGATGCTGGGACGTTGAGGCTTGTGATTCAAGCAGAGTTTTTTTTGTCTGAACGGTGTCAGGCAAGCGGAAGAAATCCTTTGCGGCCGTCCGGCGGGGCGCTGAGCGCTGACAGAGGGCAGTCTCAGAGGGAAGCTCCGAGGTGTCACTGGTGTTGGCAGATTTGGCCCAAGCCTCAGGCGTCGAGGTGTCGAGAGCGTCGAGAGCGTCGAGAGCGTCGAGAGCGTCGAGAGCGTCGAGAGCGTCGAGAGCGTCGAGAGCGTCGAGAGCGTCGAGAGCGTCGAGAGCGTCGAGAGCGTCGAGAGCGTCGAGAGCGTCGAGAGCGTCGAGAGCGTCGAGAGCGTCGAGAGCGTCGAGAGCGTCGAGAGCGTCGAGAGCGTCGAGAGCGTCGAGAGCGTCGAGAGCGTCGAGAGCGTCGAGAGCGTCGAGAGCGTCGAGAGCGTCGAGAGCGTCGAGAGCGTCGAGAGCGTCGAGAGCGTCGAGAGCGTCGAGAGCGTCGAGAGCGTCGAGAGCGTCGAGAGCGTCGAGAGCGTCGAGCGTCGAGAGCGTCGAGAGCGTCGGGAGCGTCGGGAGCGTCGGGAGCTCCGTCGGGAGCGTCGGGAAGCGTCGGGAGCGTCGGGAGAGCGTCGGGAGCGTCGGGAGCGTCGGGAGAGCGTCGGAGCAGCGTCTAGCGTCGAGAGCGTCGAGAGCGTCGAGAGCGTCGTCGAGAGCGTCGAGCGTCGGAGCGTCGAAGCGTCGAGAGCGTCGAGAGAGCGTCGAAGCGTCGAGAGCGTCGAGCGTCGAGCGTCGAGAGCGTCGAGAGAGCGTCGAGAGCGTCGAGAGCGTCGAGAGCGTCGAGAGCGTCGAGAGCGTCGAGAGCGTCGAGAGCGTCGAGAGCGTCGAGAGCGTCGAGAGCGTCGAGAGCGTCGAGAGCGTCGAGAGCGTCGAGAGCGTCGAGAGCGTCGAGAGCGTCGAGAGCGTCGAGAGCGTCGAGAGCGTCGAGAGCGTCGAGAGCGTCGAGAGCGTCGAGAGCGTCGAGAGCGTCGAGAGCGTCGAGAGCGTCGAGAGCGTCGAGAGCGTCGAGAGCGTCGAGAGCGTCGAGAGCGTCGAGAGCGTCGAGAGCGTCGAGAGCGTCGAGAGTCGTCGAGAGCGTCGAGAGCGTCGAGAGCGTCGTCTCCGGTGCATGTTGCCCGTGCCCGTGGTGCCCGTGGTGCCTGTCCGGGTGCCTTCCGGGAGGCTCCGGTGATGACCGGCTCGCGGATCGACGACCACATGGCCTCTGTGGAGCTGAGTAAGGTGGCGCTGAGTTGGGCGCTGAAGCTCTTGCGGCCCAACGGCTGCTTCGTGCCTAAGTGAAACAAGAGAAGAGAAGTGAAAAGAAGTGCGACATGAAATGAACCATAGAAGTAGATACAAAGACTGAAGTAGGAGGAGAAGCATTTCCAAAGGGAAGAAACAAGTCGCATCAGGAGATCCGTCTCGCCTCGGAATTGCCACGAGGTGACGAAGGTCTTCGCGGGGGGGTTCCTGGAGCGCTTCCGCGACCAGCTCGCCGAGCGCTTCGCCAAGGCCAAAGTGAGAAGCGAGACAGTCGGGGATGTCAAAGGTCAAATCGTTATTTGTGCTGAGCGTCTGACTTAGTCCGTTACATGTCTGATTTTCATCCACGTTTGCGATCAGGTGAAGACGGCCAAGCCTGCGGCGTCCAGACAGGAGAGCGTGGAGATTTATTTGGTGTGCAAGGGCTTCACCGGCTCGAGCGAAGTCACATAAAGAAAGAGCAGGGTGCGTGGGCACCCGGGCGCGTGCGCGTCCGCATCCGCACAGTCCGCTCAAGGTTTCTCGCTCGACGCGGCCTTTCTAGCGCAGGTCATCCCCAACGAAGTACACCCCTCAGACCACTTCCCCGTGTTCGTGGCTTTTGCGATGAAGGCGGGACCCGTGGCCCTTGTTCGTCATACCAGTTGGCCCTGAGCAGGAGGGCTACGAGAAGCACCGTGAAAGTGCAAGGCTTCGGCTTCGGGCTGGTGAGAGCTTTGGGTTCAAACTGTCAGGGCCTGGCTGGAGTGTGTGGCCGGGCGCGAGAAGGAGTGGCCGGCATGTGCTCAATCGGTGTGCGTGTGTGTGCGTCAAACTTGCAACAGCTTTGCAGGTCCATCCGCTAAGCGACGAGGAGCTGCGTGATGCCTTTGAGCTGGGGACCCTGAAGCCTTTGGGCCCGAGCGGCCTATGGCTTCTCTTTCGCTCGAACGTCTCAGGTTCTTTGACCGGGATCGGAACGAACGCATTCACCGCCGTGATCTGGAGGAAGCGTGCCGGGGCCTCAGGCCGCTTCCGCTTCCCTGTGAGCAAAAGCTACAAAAGCTGGCATGTGCTCGTGTCGATCGTGTCGATCTGGATGCGAGGGTTGCTCCCGAGCGAGGGTGCCAAGTGGGGGTTTGACGCCAGGCGTAGAGCTCCGGTGCCAGTTCCACGTGGATGCCGGGAGGCCGAGAAAAGCCTGGCTGTTCGGCTAATGTGCGCTCGGGTAAGATCTCCACAAGAGAGAGGAAAAAGACGGCAGAACTCTGTGCCAAAGAACTGCGCGAATTGCGAACTGGCAAGAGGGCGGCGAAGGTTCCAGGCGCGCCGAGCGATGCTGCGAGCTGAGGTGCCTCACCTGCTCCTGGAGTGCTTCCCAAACAAAGAGCCACCCAGCGCAAATGCTACGACCGGTATGATTACACGAGGATACCTAATACAGTGCATGTGTTGCTTTCAGATGTGCACTAGGCCGAGTTTGTTGTCGTTCTGAAGCCGCAACCAAGGATTTGCTTTGAGAACTTCCTGCGAGCATATGAGGCTGCCACGGACGCGTGCTCGGGAAGCTCCAGTTCCAACAAGGGGCGTCTCGCCATGGCTTGCTGCTTCTTGCGAAGTCAGCACGGTGCAGGCCAGCCTCCGGACAGAGCGCATGCGCGCAGTTGGTGACCTGGAGTGGGCCAGACCTGATTTGGTTTGCAAAGCCGTTTGGCAAGGTAAAAACATGTAAAAAAAGGGGGCGCAGGCCTCGGGTCGGCGCGGGTGCCTCGGGGCTGGCTCTTGCGCGCCAGGTGTGCCTTCCGATACTTCGCCGGGGAGTCCGACTCCATTGAGCTCGCGAAGCTCCAGGAGAGGGTTCTCAAGTTCTCGGAATCCTCTCTCAATCCTCTCAAGGGGTTCTCTAGGGCTCAGAGATGGCCAGAGACGACGAGCCAGGAAGCCTTCCGGGAGATCACCCCCATAAGCTTCTCGGATGACGAGGTGAAGGTCACGCCTCGCACGCCTTGGGGTTTGCAGATGCATCGAGTTTGGCACAGGACATGATTGGTCGATGCAGCCGCAATGGTCAGGCCATGTGCACGCCTGCTTGTGGAGACACAGTTCGTCAAGTACTCTTGTTTGGCAAGGCTTCTGTGCACCTCCATGACTTTTGCGAGGCATGTGCTGTCAAGTGCATTGGGTCCAAATGCAGAGCTGCCAGTTCCTTGCGTTGGTTCAGTCCCAGAAGTGTGCAATGTGCTTTCCTTTGCGTAGGTGTACCCAGATGCAAAGTCAGCAACCGGACCATGGCAGGTGGTCTGCCGCGCGACATTCCCGGACCGGAAGGCCAGCAATGCATCGGCCGAAGCCTGCGCAGCAGGGGAGTGTTGCCTGTTGTGCGCTTTGGCCAAAGGTTGCGTTGAGAATGTAGAAGGCCACGCAAAGGCGCAAACATCATGCCATGGAAGCGGCTGGCCAGGCCATGCAGCGCATACACCAGGGCGGACGGGCCGATTCGCGCACCAGCTCGCGCCAGGGCAGACGCACGTCCACCAAGGTCAGGGTGGGGCTGAGACGTCCGGAAAGGCGCGACTGAGCCAGGAGATCAGCTTCCGCCTCGACTTGTTGCACAAGACCGTCTCGGGAAAAGGGCCTGGGCTCAAGCCAACGGAAGCCAAAGGAAGCCAAAGGAAGATCCCTTGAGACGTTTGGTGAACGTCCGAGGTTGGACAAGGGCCCGAGTGCTGTCCTTGGAATGGATCCTTTGGCCTATCGGGCGTTCGAACTTGGCCCTGAGGTACCGATGAATTGATGCCTTTGATGGAAGACTGACGCTTGCCAGCTCGGTACTGTGCCTTGCCCCATGTGGTTCCATATTCGGCGCGTCAGTCTAGAATTGAAGGCTGGAAAGGGCGGGGAATTGGTATGGGGCCTGGCTGAGAGGCGATCTCGGATTCAAGGCTCGTACCCTTGCATTCTTAGATCCGCAACCTCCAAGGGGTTGCCACAATGTTTTCCACGGCTGCCGGCCGCCAGACTAGCCCCAGATGCCACCCACCTTGGGCAGCATCTGGGACAGGGCACCAAATCTGCCTCAGTGCATGGCCCCAAATGCTCGGATTCACCGTTATGCAAGCATGTGGTCCGCTGTTGCACTCCAAAGTTGACACAGCCATTCAGGAGTGCGGCACTCGTCTGATCTATGGCTCCAGACTTAGCAGCTTTGCTGGCCGCGCTCACGACAGGCCTGAAGTCGCGATGAGACTCTACTTTGCGACTTAGCGGCTCGACTTTGTGACTTTGCCAGGTGGGCACGAGGCGCCGCTCATGGCGGAGGAAGCCAAGCGGAGAAGCGATGGCTCTGCGCTCAGCTCTCGTCACTTCGGCGCCCTCGCCCTCAGTCGCAAGGCCCAGAAGCCGATGCGAAACGGCAGAAGAGTGACAAGGGTGAAGCTGGGAGCACAGAGAGAGCATAGCAATCATAAGGCAATCATAGCAAGCTCCGTGCCGAATCTTTGGAAAGCTGGCTATCCGATTCTAGTGGCATGGGACCAATCGGACCGGGAATGGAGTGTGTTCGTGCTATTCAGGTGATGTCGCTGGAGCAGGTTCTGGCCAAGCGAAAGGAGGAGAACAAGGCTGGGGATGCCAATCCTGCATGGCCACATCGCCATATCCCCGCCAAATATCAATTGGGTCTGTGTCTTCACTGCCACCGAGGCACCTAAGATGAAGTTTGTGTCAAAGAACGATCGCGAAAAGTCCAGCACCCAGAGCTTCTGACGCTTGTGCGCTCGTGAGACCGGCGCGACTGGTCAGGGTCCCATATTTTCAGGCATGCGCAGAAAGAGGCTGACAAGCAGAAGGCAGATCAGAAGAAGAAGGCCAGCCATTTATTCAGTCTTTCGAGCAAGCATGATGTCCCTTTGCAGCTTGGCAGCAACAACAGTGACCTACCGCAGGCAGAGGAGGCATCAAAGCGAAGAAAGGCCTGATAGCTGCATGCTTGACAGGCTTGGGTGACAGGTCCTGTTAGGCTGAACATGGATGGCACTGGTTTCAGTTTGGTTCTTATCATTCACAGGTGCCGTCTATTTTTCCACGGCAAAACATCTACTGAGGCCTGTGCATCCGACGGGAGGGCTCCAAGGCTCAGGACGAGGCTTGTCGTCAGGGTGCCATGGCCTTGCCTCGCAGCCGCACCCTGCTGCGAGCGTCCGCGCCTCCCTATGAGAAGCCGGGCCCGGTGGGTCCAGTGGGCCCGGTGGGTCCAGACGGCCTGGAGGAGTTTCTGTGGCGGCTGGGGCTAACGGCGTGGCTGGCGCCTGCGCGGCGCTGGGCGGCGGAGAACGGCGCCTGCGCCTTGGCGGAGCTCGTGGAGAACGCCGCGGACCTGGCGGCGGCGCTGCGGCTGGGCGCGGCGCAGCGCGCGCAGCTGCAGTGCGCCCTGCGCCTGGCCCAGGCCCTGGACGCCAGGCACGGCCACGGCCACGGCCACGCCTGCGGGTTGAAGGCGACTGCGCCGGAGTTCGCATCCCTGCGCAAGGCCATGAGCACCCCCGTGACGCAGAGGGAGACGGCGCGGGCCGGCACGCTGCTCTTGCACATGGCCTGGGCACCGGGGGAGGGCCTGGGGCGCACAGAGACGGACATTTGGGATGAGAAGGAGGCAGCAGCACATGCCGCAGAAGCTGATGCCGTTGAGTTCTGGGAGAAGCCGCGCAAAGAGGCTTGGGATGATTGGGACCACTACAAAGAGCCGATTGACCCGCGCCTTCTGCGCCAGCGCAACCCAACCGATTCTGAACTCAACGTGAAAGAGCGGAGACTCAAGGAGATTCAAGCGCAGATCCAAGAAGATTGGGGTGATGTGACATGCGCACCAGTCAAGAATGAGGCTTTCGAAAGTATGCGAGATTCATTCCTCTCCAACCATGGTGCAAGCATACAGCGGGAGTTAGGCCGGGGTTACAAGCTGGTGCCAGCGGACGTTGCTCCTCGTGTCCAGGAAAAGTTCATGGCAGAGTGCCGCCAGAAGGGTGCTCCTGACTACGGCTTTCACGGCACTCGCAGTGGGAACATTCCCTCCATCTTGGAGCAAGGGTTAAAGGTGCCGGGCGAGAACGGGGTACGAGTGGAGAACGGCTCGGCGCACGGCGTTGGCATCTACACCGCAATGCCAGGCAATGTGTGGCTGTCCAAAAACTTCTGCGACTCTGCTAACATGCTGATTTGCGGTGTAGTGGATCCAGAGGCTCCAGCACGACCTCAGATGGAGACAAAGCCTGCGCCCAAACCTCGCAAAACTGGGCAGCACCGGAATCATCAAAGGCCTTCTCCGGTGCCAGCGCAGCCAACTCCAGGCCCAGTCTATTCTACATGCCAGGTCCGCGAGTCTGATGGCATCAGGGTGGTTGGCGCAGCACGTGTGATCTTCAAAGAAGAGAGCGTGGCGCCGTTGTTCGTCGCGCAGGCTGCTGGCTCCGTGGACACTTTCCGTCGGCTCGGTGCTACATCGAACCCCAGCCGAGGTGGCAGCAAGGGTCAGGTCTATATCCCGGAGACGGGAGAGGTGGTCTGGGACTGTTGGGAGCCGGTTCGCGGAGTGCACTACCGCCGCTTGAAGCGTATGGTGGTGGCAAAGGAGCGGTGCCAGGAACGGGCGTCCCTGAGGAATCTCAAGCAGGCAGAGCAGCAGTGGTAATTGTGTACTCGCGGGTGGGAAAGCTTTCAATTGGTCATTGTACAGACAAAGTCTTGACCAGAAGCCGCTTGATCAGTGGCCAAGGCCAGTGAGAGGCTTCTGGCTGCACTGATGGACTCTTGCTGCGCACCTGTACAGCAAAGTCAGAGTCACCTTGAAAATTGCCCTTTGAGAATTGGGTAAGGCTCTGCATTGCCAGAAAAGCTCCCTCAAGCTTTGCTTGTGCTTTCCAGGACTTCCTTTTGCAGGAGGAGATCGAGAGGGAGCGCGAACGCCGCATACTTGAGTGATGTTTCCCTCCTTGGAAGTCTCTTTCTGAACTCCCGGGGACGGCATCATCTGACTTTTGAAGCATTTCAAGCATGTTCCGGAAAGGCTTCCCAAAACACGCCCGCACACAAACGCACAGACACAAGCGCACACCACACACATACAAGCACACCACAGCCCCCTTCACAGCAACGCACCTCGCAGCCCAACCCAATGTAGCGCCACCCGACCCGACTCGACACAAGGCGCCACACACCACGCAGTGCAACCAAAGCTGCGGAGCACCGCACCGCACAGCAGCCACACAGACACAGAGACACACACACAAGCCACACACAAGCGTCACAAGCACATGCACGCCAAGATTTCTCCAAATTTGCGGGCGATCTTCCCAAAGGATTTCCTGATCCGATCAGTTCTTGCATCTCAGGTCAGCGCGAGCGCGAGGAGCGCGAGAGGGAACGCAAGCGACGAGAAGAGGAGCTCGGATCTTAGTGCTGCTTGAAGTCTGGATGTTTGGGCAGAATCTGCTCGCAAGAGACTTTTTGGGTGGCTGGGTGGGTAATCCGGCCGCTGGGGAGGCTCAGCTGGCTGTTCCAATCTGGGCGAGAGATGGATCAATGAGACTCAAAGATTGGGACTTTCAGGCGCCAGCGAGAACGAGAGGAGCGGGAGAAGGAGAGGCTGAAGCAGCGAGAGGAGAAGGCCGAATGGCGACCGTGGGGCTGGAATGTGCGGGGCAAACATGTGGCCAGCGGCCATGCTTCAGGAAGGCCTCATGCAGACGAGTTCGCTGGCAGAGATGAACCTCTTGCCACTTGGCCGAAAGCCTCTCGCGGAGTCGCGGAGTCGCGGAGGAGAGGCGGTTCCGGTTCCCGGGCGGTTCCGGTTTGGGCGGTTCCGGTTTGGGCGGCTTGGCCCAGGAAGCTTCCGGACCAAGAGCGCCGAGAGAGGCAAGCGGAGAAGGCACGGGACGAGTCGGGAGTCGGGAGTCGGGGGCGACGGGGCGACGTTCTCTGGAACGTGCCGGGTGCCTTTTGGGTTGAGCTTGGCCTTTGAGGCTCGCGTTTTCGCTCTTGGGGCAAGAGGGGAGGGACCCGAGATGGACATTGCAGGAGCTGGAGCTTATCAAGCGGCACTATCTTGGCATGAAGGACTGCAGCTTTTCAAGGAAGGCTTCAGATGGCTTTCCAACAAGAGTAGCTGATTGGGAAAGATGACCGGACAGGAGAACAAGAAGAAGATGCAGAAGCCCTCTGAGAAGTTTAGGAACATTTTCAACTTTGAGCCGGCGACCCTATCCATGCACTTTCATATGCTCTTAATTCCACTGGGAAGCGAGGTGGAATGCAGATGATGACACCATGCGCGGTGACAACAATCCGCCTTGTCCTCAGTAAAGGGCCAAGGACTCTTGGCCGCAGGCTCAGACTCTTGCACAAGCCTCGCCTGGCTAATCGAGGCTCTACACCAAACGGTTGGAACCGCAACTGCTATTTGGTCAGCAGCTCAAGCAATATTGTTGGGACGCAGTGATGCTTCACCTTTTGCCCTTGGTCGTCTTGTCGTCTTGGGCACTTGCCGGAGCCCGCTTCTGTTTGGACTCAGGTCGTGGCTACCGAGCCGGAATTGATGTGCGAGAGCAGCGCAAGAACAACAGGTGGGCTTGTGGCGGGTGTGTATTCATGCACATTGCCATGATGCGCTCAGCTTTTACGAAGAGCTCATTGCCAAGCGAGCTGAATACTCGGGCGAAGCCTGGTCCCTAAACCCGACAGCGAGGTCCGGGCGAGGTCTGTGCTTGTCACGTCCAGTCAGATACGTGTCGCTTTGCGCAAGCATCCTTTGCCCATCATGTTCTTAGGATGTGTCGGCCTTCGTGCAGCCTTCGAAGGACGAGAGAATCTCTATGCACCGATGTCCCATGTTGCTCTGCACCAGGAGCCCCTGTCCTTCAAACAGCGAGATATTGAGGACAAGGACATCAACAAGGAGCCAATTTAGCCTACACCAGACATCATGGAACAGCTCGTTTTTGAGCAGATCAGTCATGTGTCTCATTCGTACTGTGCCTAGCATGCGAGTGCCTTACGAAAGCACACCTTAAACAAGTGTTTGTCAGAGTCGACAGTTTGCGGTTTGTACTTTGACTCCTTTCAGCCCTTGGGTTCGGCGCTGACGCGACGTTGCCAGACACACTGGACAGAGAAGCCAGTCGACGACATGACCACGCGCGACTGGCGGATCTTTAGGGAGGCAGGGCCTTCACCCACGGATGCTTGTTTCTTGGGGCCTCTCATTCCTCTCAGGATTTCCAGATCTTCATCCGCGGAGGTCGTGTGTTGGCTCCTCATTCCGCTTCCTCTTTTTGTTTTTGGTTGGCACGGATCACGGCCAGGCAGGAGATTGATTAGTGATTGATTCATGGCGTCACGAGGCCTGTTCCCATGCGGGTGTGGTCAGAGGGGCCTTTGCCCTGGGAATTGCTGGAGGCCGTCAACAAGGCTCGGCCACTGATGCCTATGCACAAGTCTATATAAGCGATCTTTGGAGGTAACGGCACATTGCTTCCAAGTGCTCTGCCCAAAAATGCACTTTGAACCTCTGCCCTGTGAGCACGGCAAGCTTGCTTGCAAGCGATCTTGGCGCTGGTTTTCACAGTGTTTAGCTTCTGGCGTGGGCCACTTGACCCTAAACCACCCTACTTGCTTACCCCAGCTTTGAACGAGGACGCTGGAGCGCACTGGCCAAGCCTTCGCGGTGTAGTCATGTGGAAACTGTGGTTGATGGAGGTCAAGGTCAACGCCCCACACACACACACACCCAGGCGCGTACACAATACAAAAACACCACACACACACCACATATACAAACACAGGTACGCACACAGACAAATGCACAAATACACAATCAAAGACAAGCATAAACGCACACACACACAGACACACACACACAGACACACACATACACGACACACACGACACACACGACACACACGACACACACGACACACACGACACACACGACACACACGACACACACGACACACACGACACACACGACACACACGACACACACGACACACACGACACACACGACACACACGACACACACGACACACACGACACACACGACACACACGACACACACGACACACACGACACACACGACACACACGACACACACGACACACACGACACACACGACACACACGACACACACGACACACACGACACGACCAAGGACACACACACACAAACACACACACCCACACCACCCACGCACACACACGCACACACGCACGCACGCACACCATAGCGCACCGCCACACCGCGCACACCACACACACACACGCACGCACACGCCGCGCCGCGCGCACGCACCCGCACGGCCGCACGCCGCGCACGCACACGCACGCGCAAGCCCTTGCGGCGCGCGCACACGCACACGCACACGCACAGCCGCGCCTGCACACAAACACACACACACAAACACACAAACACACAAACACACGGCGCACACAAACACACAAACGCAAACGCACAAACCACACAAACACACAAACACACAAACACACAAACACACAAACACACAAACACACAAACACACAAACACACAAACACACAAACACACAAACACACAAACACACAAACACACAAACACACAAACACACAAACACACAAACACACACACACAAACACACAAACACACAAACCACACCAAAGCACACAAACACACAAACACACAAACACACAAACACACAAACACACAAACACACAAACACACACACACACACAAACACACAAACACACAAACACACAAACACACAACACACACAAACACACAAACACACAAACACACAACACACAAACACACAAACACACAAACACACAAACACACAAACACACAAACACACAAACACACAAACACACACACAAACACACACAAACACACAGACAACCAGACACACAAACACACAAACACACAACACAAACACACACACACGCAACACACAAACACACAAACACACACAACACACAAACACACAAACACACAAACACACAAACACACAAACACACAAACACACAAACACACAAACACACACACACAAACACACAAACACACACAACACACAACACACAAACACACAAACACACAAACACACAAACACACAACACACAAACACACAACACACACACAACACACAAACACACAAACACACACAACACACAAACACACAAACACACAAACACACAAACACACACACACACACAAACACACAAACACACAAACACACAAACACACAAACACACAAACACACAAACACACAAACACACAAACACACAAACACACAAACACACAAACACACAAACACACAAACACACAAACACACAAACACACAAACACACAAACACACAAACACACAAACACACAAACACACAACACACACACACAAACACACAACACACACACAACACAAACACAAACACACACACACAAACACACACAAACACACACAAACACACACACACACACACACACACACACACACACACACACACACACACACACACACACACACACACACACACACACACACACACACACACACACACACACACACACACACACACACACACACACACACACACACACACACACACACACACACACACACACACACACACACACACACACACACACACACACACACACACACACACACACACACACACACACACACAGAGACTGTGACACACACACACAGAGCAACATACACTCAGAACACTTTGAGAGCTGTCTCGAGGTGGGCTATGCTAGACCAACCCCTATCCAGATGCAGGACTGGAATTGAATTGCGTCCATAGACACCTTCGCAGCACTGCGGCCAATTTGTTCAGGCCATTCCAATCGCTTGCCAGTGCCGTGATCTCATTGCTGTTGCAGAGTCAGCTGCTGAGCTTGCTGCACGATTGGCACTTGCGGAGAGCAAACAGTCCTTGCTTTGAGCCTTGATAAGGACGGGCAGTGGCAAGACAGCAGCGTATGTGCTTCCAATGCTGCAGCAGCCTCAGTGCTGGAGCTTTGCGAGGTGTCATGTGTTTTGCGCTGCGGCGTGCTGCCGGGATTGCGTCATTGCGGTAGATCTATTCAGGTCCTATGTGAAAAAGCTCCCCAAGCTCGACGACACCTCCGCGCAGGCGAATGTTTCAGTGCCAGTTGTTGCCCTCTTTGTTTGCAAAGTAGATGTCTTCTGTTTCCTTAGAACACAGGAACCTTAAGAAGCGTGGGAGACAGGACGTGGCTCTCCGTAGCACAGGATGGGCCTTATGCCATCATACTGGCGCCCAGCCGCGAGCTTGTGATCCAGATCGAAGAGGAGGCCCGGCTGGCGCAGCGCGAACGGTCAGAGAGCCGGGAAGACATTCAGCCCAGAAAGAGAAGAGCAAGAGAGACATAGAACGGTCAGAGAGCCCAGAAGCAGAATCTGAGACTGAATGAATGAATGAATGAATGAATGAATGAATGAATGAA